AAATTACTATAGAGGATTAGGAAAATATTCCATCAAATATATCTAGAGAGTATCTTGGTTTGTGTGAGACATTGGATAGAAGGACATAATAATAGTAAACAGTAAACGTGCAAGATAAAAGAGTTAAAGCTTTTGGGAAGATTACCAACCTGCCATATGCTTAATTCTGATTTGTTTAAACTTATTAAACTTCAGTGCAGAAAAGCTGGCTTTCGGCAGTCCATTGCTACTCCTTTGTACCCCACAATACATACTCTACAAAGTGTAACATTTGACGGAAAAATGATCACAAGAGCTCCCCAAGGACAGTGAACTATCAAGATCAGAGGGCATCATACAGCAATAACACAGTTGAAGCCAAGGACAAACGTTCAATCAGTGGTCTTGACATTTCAGATGAGCACCCTGTTTTCTGATCACAGAAAGACCAACCACCAAATAGCCAATGCAAGGACCACAAGAAAAGACATCATGAAAGGAATACGAGGAGATGGAAAAGTACTAAAGTAGAGGTGGCACTTTTTGAGAGACTTGTGATCCTCAGGGATTGGAATAGAAACCTTGGGAAGAACTTCTTCATTTTCTTGCTGGGGCAAGGCGCTTTCAGTGGATCTTTCTTGCCTTTTAATTTTCTCTTCATCCTGTACTAACAGAGCACGTTCCTGTGTCTGCTTTCACGGTAGAAGATCAAGAAAGACAGAATAAGATGAACAAAATGACAGATGGAAAATGCTCAAAAATGATACTTGGGGATGTGCAAAGGATTTGGAAAGATCTAGACACTATTTTAGCTTTACTTTATTTTGGCAATTTATCTTGGCAAAGTTTCTGAGACATAGTAGGGTGCTCAATAGATACCTTTATGAGTGAATGAACATTAGAACTGAAAGTTCAAGGAATCACTGGTTTTCCCCTAGCTATATTATTTATTCTTCCTTTGAGGATATCCACATATTAATTTTAGGTCATTTTCTATTACCTTGGTGCTGCCAGTCACTAACCAGGCAATGCCAATAATGAAGCATTCTTCTTGCCATCATAAAAGTTACTTTTATTACAAATAGAATGGCAGAATATAAAAAGTAATCCTCATATCTCTTCGTAGGCTTTAAAAATGGCAACAGTTCATTCAGTATAGTAATTAGTTTTTGCTCAAGAAATAAAAATCTTAATCTTACACATTTTTAAAGACTGCAAAAGAAAAACAAGGTATAAAAGTTTATAATGTGCCTCCAAGGTTCACCAAAACAAATAAATAATAATGATACTTTTAAGGAAAGCCCCCCCCCGCAATTGTCCAATTGAGAAGCTTTTCTTCCTCCTGCAATTTCTGTACTCTGCTATCCATAGTCAAGACAGATGTTATCTATGAAAGGAAAAACTTGGCTCTAAGTTCTCTCAGTTGAGTTAGCCTTCTCTGATCAGTTTGGAAGTTCAACACTGGTTCTTTGCACACCCCTAAGTGATATGTATCAGGGAGAAAGTAGCCAGGGGACTGGTCAGCAAAAAAGAAACAAAGGAAAAGAAAAGATGCAAAATTACAATGATTTTTGAAAGAAAATAAAGGTGGAGAAGAAAGACAACATAAAAAGAATAGGGTATAATTAAATTCATTTTCTCTCTGAATACATATTTATATCTTCATGCAGCTTTTCAACCAGCCATGCGCCGAAATAAGCAATTGAAAGCTGCAAAAGCTGCAGCAGTGGAAGTGTTAAGTGTTAGGCCAAAAGGCTGTGGGTGTGAATTTACTAGTATAGCCAAAAGAAAAAAAGTATTCAGCAGCTGTTGTTCAGTTCTGGAGGGATTATCTGCTTAGTGCCATGACAAGAGCAAATTCTGATTGAGAAGCACAAGTCATAACAGCAGCTTTACCTCTGGCCCACCAACCTTTCTTTCCGAGGGAAGGATAGAAGTTTTCTTCACCTGGTCATACACAAATTATATAAAATTCAGTTGCCTTGCAATGCAACAACAATGCTGTCAAAGGTGGAAGAGGTATCCCCAGAGAACAGAAATATTATTTCAATTGTTAAGAAAAAAGTAAGATATGCTAGAAAGTAGAATTATCCAATATTAAAGGTCACCATAGTACAGTGCTTATTTATTACATTATTCAGTTAGTATACAGCTAAAATTGTTCAAGCACTCCCATAGATCTAGTTTAGTTTATAAAAAGTTATTTCTTTAAAGAACACAGAATGACATCACCATTCCCAAAACCAGCCCCGAGATGATTTCTGAAAGGTTTCTATTAAAAGACATAAGATATTTTCTGGAAATGGAGACCAATTCAAATTTACCCAACCTTATCCAAGAGAGTACCAAGTCACTTTTTCAAAGTAGTTGAACATCTTTTATTACTTGCACAGAGTCAAAAAGAAAACTTCTAGAAAATATGCAGTCATAGTTTACAGATAGGGTTAACCAGGTGAAATAGCAACAAGGAATTTTCTCATGGAGTCACAGACTTAACAGAATTTTAGAGTTAACAGGGACCTTAAAGGTCATCTACTCTATAAACTGAGGTCCAATATGATAAATGACTTGTTCAGAATTGTTCAAGCCACAACTAGAACTACTAGACCCTTTATGACTTATTACTAGGGATGTATCAAAATTAAATATCTGACTGACACTGAAAAAAGTGGTCTTGCCCAGAAAGCAGAGTTATTGTCTCAGTTCAGGATACATGCTCTAGATTTAGAACACAAAACTAATATCCATTTATATCAGAAAACAGGGAGAGGACAGAGATTAGGAAACAATAGCGTCCTATCATCCCTGGTAATTCTATTTAGCTGCCCATCACTCAGGTACTCTCTAGCCTTATTTGTGAAACTGGTTCAACTCTGGAGAATTGTTAGCCAATTTTAGTCATGCTTTGAAAAATACAAAAAGAACCCTTTGTGAACCGACTTTTTTTTCTTTTTTTTTTTTTTTAAACAAGACAAGAGTCTCACTCTGTTGTCCAGGCTGGACTGCAGTGGCGCAATCTTGGCCCACTGCAATCTCTGCCTCCTGGGTTCAAGCTATTTTCCTGCTTCAGCCTACCGAGTAGCTGCGATTATAGGCGCCCACCACTACACCCAGCTAATCTTTTTGTATTTTTAGTAGAGATGGGGTTTTACCACGTTGGCCAGGCTGGTCTCAAACTCCTGACCTCAGGTGACCCACCCACCTCAGTCTCCCAAGTGCTAGGATTACAGGCATAAGCCACCACCCCAGTCTGTGAACCAACTTTTATCACCTTCTCCAGTTCCAGAAACTAAATAATAATTTGGATAGTTTACCATAAATTCTGAAAATAAAAAAAAAGTTTTAAAATTATTAAGACATCATTTTACCCCTTTTAACTAGAATTGCTATTATTTTTGGGGGGAAACAAGCACATAATTTTTAAATTATTATAATCACTAATTGAGTCATTGTGACTATATAAATATTTCACTTGTACTGACTAAAGATAAAAACTTTTGGGGTGTATGTTCATGGTAACTTTCAAGATATTTTCATTAAATGTTTAATAGATGAAAATACCTATTTAATAGATGAAAACAAATTTGTTATTGTTGTCATTACCTATTTCAGAAATCCTACATCTAAATAAATTTTAGAAATCCTACATCTGAATAAATGAATTATTACCTATTTTAGAAATCCTACATCTGAATAAATAACTGAATTATTCAGTTATTTATTCAGATGTAGGATTTCTAAAATAGGTAATGACAACAATAACAGAAAAAGAACAGCCCCTGAAAGGTATCTCTGGCATCCTCTAATTGTGACTATCTTACAAAACACTGTATTAAAAGTTTAATGTTACTCATAAAGATAAAATAGTTTTTCTTTTCTTTTCTCTTTTTCTTTTTTGAGACAGGTTCTCACTCTGTCACCCAGGCTGGAGTGTAGTGGTGTAATCATGGTTCACTGCAGCCTTGATCTCCTGGGCTTAAGCAATCCTCCTGCTTCAGCCCCCTGAGTAGCTGGACTACAAAGGTGCACATCACAATACCTGACTAATTTTTGTATTTTTGTAGAGATGGGGTTTTGTCATGTTGCCCAGGTAAGTCTTAAACTCCTGGACTCAAGTGATCCGCCTGTCTTGGCCTCCCAAAGTGCTGGGATTACAAGCATGAGCCACCGCACCCGCCAATAAATAGTTTTTCTAAAATTGAAATACAATCATTACTATTTGAAGTTCTGAATTCTCTTGCTTAGGGGTCTCCTTGGTTTACTATATAATTGTGGCAACCATTCCAGATATTTCTTTCTTTCTTTCTTTCTTTTTTAGGCGGAGTCTTATTCTGTCTCCAGGGCTGGAGTGTAGTGGTGCAATCTCGGCTAACTGCAACCTCTGCCTCCCAGATTCAAGCAATCCTCCAGCCTCAGCCTCCTGAGTAGCTGGGATTATAGGTGGCCGCCACTACACCCAGCTAATTTTTTGTATTTTTGGTAGAGATGGGGTTTCACCATGATTACCAGGCTGGTCTCGAACCTCTGATCTTGTGATCATCCTCCTTGGCCTCCTAAAATGCTAGGATTACAGGCGTGAGCAACCCTGCCCAGCCCTAGATATTTCTAAGTTGTGCAAATGTTCAAATAAAGCTTTTTAAAATGACTAGTCTCTTTTCTATTTTGACCTTCCTAAATTTAGTAAACTTTCTAGTCCCTGAAAGCAGTTTGAATACAAACAAACTTCTACTGGCTTATGGTCAATTTATAATCATATAGTAGCCAGAAGCATGTAGTTGCAGAGATAGTTCTTAGAGGCTAATCATGGCTCCAAATGGTTCCTATAGTTGGACTGGGTAGCCTACATGACTTAAAAAAGTAAATAAATATTTGATTGCAAATGCCTGAAAGCAGCAATTAATTTAGTGAGGCACCAAATCCAAATTTCAGCTCTGAAGCTTTCTCTCAGATACAGAATATTAATACATAAAAACATTTATTCTCTCCATTTTCACAATTGGTCATGTAGACAAAGTACTCACTCCTTCTCCTGTGGGGATTTGTCCATTGATGTTAAGAGTTCGGAAGGGGGAGTGAGTGGATAAGCGTTTATCCCATTCACTAGGCCGTGGTTCTGGTACAGACTCCATGAAGTTCTTTTTCAGCTCACTGATGCTGGCATGGTGTTTTTTGATCTCCTCTTGACTCTTGTCTAAATCCTACAGTTGAAAGGACAAAGATGCAAAACAACGCATAATCAAGACAAGAAATACACCAAGGGCAATCCATCAGAGACTGGGCACTGGTAGAAAACATACCACATCCAGGGCAGATGTTACTAATCATAAACTGCATTCAAATTATAAATATACAACATGGTATATTTGCTTGTCTTTTTTTTCTTTAAATAAAGTGCTTTTCTTGGAAGCTGTGAAGTATCACAACTCCATAGCTGTTAGCAGTTATATAAGGTTCATAAAGAGCTCACGCATTCATTTATGATTCTTCTTCCCATTATGACACAGCACCAGATTTCTAACTCCTCATCCCAAGAAGGTACTTCCACTACTCAATTAAACTCACCTTGATAAATTATTTTAGACTCAGCTCAGCAGGATGGAGATAGCAATAGACAAACTGTTTAATGAAGGCATGGTGAAACATATGACTTCCACCATTGGCTATCTTGTCTTGTTGAGTTGCAAACAAGTACCCTTCTATTTCTACCTAGAAATGGTTTTACTTCTCTATTACTAGGTAGTTGTTTTTGCTTTTTGAGGAACAAGAATAGCCCTTTTTTGATGTAAGAATGTATTACTGAAATTCCTAAAGACTCCAGAGCAGACTGTTACTATCTCTGAAAAATCACTCAGAGGTACATAATACAATGCCTTTTTTCTTTATCAATAATATGCACATAAACTAAAAGTGTTAGGCTTTCTAGCTTCTAACAGCTTCACTTCATTCCTTAGTACAATTCAAAACAGGGACTTCTTGCAATAACCTTCAAAGGATTAGGAGTGAGTTAATAAGAGTTCACAAAATACCTAAGATATCTCCTTGACAATTTGAAATAATTCAACTGTTCCAGCAGATTAAAAATTTTTTTTTAAATTTTTTGGGTATATAGTAGGTGTATATTCTAGCAAATTTGAATACTGGGCAACCTGAGTTTCAAGCAAGCTATTAAAGGGACATTCCAGGGAGACATGAACAAAGTTTAGGTTAATAAAGCATGAGCTAGAAATAATATTCAGGTTTACGTAAAAGGAGGCATATAACAACTTTCAAAAGGGGACTTGGCCAAAAATAGTCTGGTAAATATAACTTGAAGACAAAAACTCAAATGTTCTTTGTCTAACAACACTTCAAAAAACCTTAAAAGATCTATGCTTGAGATCAAAACATGTGGGAGCCCATCACTTGATGACTGTAAAAAATTCTGTGTTTATTATACATCAAGGCAGCTCTGTATCCAAGAAAAGCATAATGCTAAATACATCTCCTAATATGCTAGGTGAATTGTGGGATTAGTCTTTCTTTTTTGCCTCTGTAGGAAACAGCTGTATTGGAGTAAAAAATTAGAATTCTCCCTGGTAGTTTAGTGGTTAGGATTCAGAAAAAAATAATTAGAATTCATTTAAATCAAAATTTGTTTATAAGTTCTTTTCTGAGGGTAATATAGATTTTAACTAAATAAAACTTTTTCAAAAGCAATGTCAAAGGGAAAACAGCATAAGAACAATAATCAGTGAGGTGATTTTGATTCTGGAGATATTCATTCAGAAAATTCATTAACTAGTCTATTCTTTTTATTTTTGCAAGACTGAACCATGTATATCTGCTTTGAGATCAAACAGAAAGCTAACTCCAGAAGGGTGATCCTGTAGCTACCCCAGAAGAGTGTTTTGCTTGCTGAGATGAAATGTGAGTATATTTATGAATATGGACTTCACTGCAGGAGAAACAACAGTTTGCACTTTTGTTCTAGCTGAAAGAAAGAAAGCATGTCTACTAACTAAAGAAAAGCATGAGCAAGCCCATTCAAAGACTCAGTGTTGGACTGAGCAACCAGACCCACTCGGCATGTAAGGTCCCGTGACCCAGCTCCTCACTGGAAATTAAATCTGTTTGGGCCAAGAACAACTTAATACATTTGGGAGGGTTAAAAGTGTGAATGGAGCAAAACAAAAATGAGCAAGAGATGCTATGTAAAACAACATCTCTCTGAGTTAACCTTTTAACTTGTGATTTGCTACTCTTCTTGCCTAGCTTTGGATTGGCTTGGAACCTGAGAAAATAAATGTTCTGGTAAAACCAGTAGCTTCTGGGGGAGCTTTCTCCATCCTTCTTAGCTGGTTTTGTTAGAAACCTGTGGGGGCACAGAGTAAAATTAAGATCTCAAAGGGACCTGTTCCAAATAGAATTTGTCATAGACAACTTGCTACAGGTTCTCTCTGGGAGATGGAGGAGGAGGCGGTAGCTCTAAAAATGAACTCGACCTTATTTGTGCCAGAACAAAGCATTAGTGGGGGCGGGGTAGAAGAAGGGGGAGGAGAGATGCTTAGGAAAAAAAACCTGCTAGAGTGACAGATAACTTGAGAGAACTTCTTTAGAAGGGGAAAAAACTTTATAATAACTAAAGAATGATGGTCAAATTACTTTGGCTGTGTTCAGGTTAGACATTTTTTGATGCCTGTCATTTCATAATTTTAGCAGCAACCAAACACTTCATTAAATATAAAATGTTCTCAAAAGGTAGTTAGTAGTTTTAATTTTCCAACACACTTATTTAGAAATCCCCTCTCATGGCTGTCAATGAAATGCTGAGGGAAAAACACATCACACGCAGGGACTTTGTGACTCTCAGAAGCCAGAACACACCTCATGGAACAAACGACAAATATATGATTGGTACGGCAGGTTCCAGTTAAGAGGAAGTACTGAAGATGAACTAGTCAAGAAATATGGATGTTTAGAATTTCAAGATGTTACACTGCCAAATACAGGAAATCAACACTATTCTTCCTGGTCTCTGAAGATGGAACTACTCAGGTCTAGTTTAAGGTATGGGCTAAAACAAAGAGATCTAGTTGCCAAGTTTGAAATATCTGACAGTCCAGCCTTGGAAAACTTCATGTTAAACAAGACAAATACATGTGAAGCATTTGGTATTGCACCCACCATGCAATAAATGTTTAATAAAGGCTGGGCATAATTTTCCTGAAAAGTACTTGATACATAACAGGTACTCAAAACACAGATATTGACAAAGGATAAGATGAGGTTTAAATAATTATTAGAGGCTGTATATTAAGCCAGAGATCTGGTTTTTAAAGTTTAGGCTGGGTCCACTGGCTCAAGCCTGTAATCTCAGCACTTTGGGAGGCCGAAGCAGCAGGATCACTTGAGTCCAGTAGTTCAAGACCAGCCTGGGCAACATACTGAGATCCTGTCTCTACCAGAAATGTAAAAATTAGCTGGGCATTGTGGTATGCACCCATAGTCCCAGCTACTCAGGAGATTGAGATGGGAGGAGCCTGGAAGGCTGAGCTGCCATGTCGGAAAATAATCTTACAACTCCTACAGCAGACAGCACGTTGCTATTTCTGAGTGGAAAATAGTGTAGTTTAATAGAGTTGGATAGATCCTAACTTACATCTTGGCTTTATCAGTTCTGTGACCATAGGGAAATTACTTAATTTCTTTGAGCTTCAATTTTCTCTCTTTTTTTTTTTTTTTTTTTTTTTAAAGAGACGGAGTTTCACCATGTTGGCCAGGCTGGTCTTGAACTCCTGACCTCAAGTGTTCCACCCATCTCGGCCTCCCAAAGTGCTGGGATTACAGGCGTGAGCCACCGTGCCCAGCCCGATTTTCTCATCTTTAAAACAATCTCAGACTCACAGGCCTGTTTTTATGATTAAACTATCTTATAGTAACTACTCAGTAAATGCTAGGCTTCCTTCTTTCCTTCTTATATTTTGCTTTTTTTCCCCCACAGTTCTTCTGTCATTTTCCTACTATCTTCAATATTTTAAGTCCATTCCAAATTCCCTACTTTTTCACACTATCTTAGTTCAGAAAATGAAAGAATAGTGTAAATTTGCATTTGGGACAGATGCAAGCTTATACACTTGAAAAATTAAAGGAACTTATAGCAATGATATAGAATTTTCTAAAGATGGATAAAACAATGGAACCATGAGAGATAGGGGTAGTCCCAATCATATATTTTACCAGGTTAAGTATGATAGATGGAAACTAAAAAGAATCAGAAGGCAAGCTATTTGCATATCTTCATGTTCTCCAACATGCAAAAGCATTTTAAACCTAAAGTTCCTTCATGCAATGGCATGCAAAACCAAATGCAGCACAGAATGAAGAAAAGGGGATCAGCAAAGAATGCAGAAGGTTCCAGGCAACCAACTGAAATAAGCTTCAAGTTCATACAAACCTCCAACATTAAATTGCTATGTCTGATATAAATGTTTTCACCATCTAGTCTTTCTCTTTTTTTCTGTGAAAATGAAAGGGGGGAAAAACAGAAAAGCATAACAAATTAAAATGTTGTTCTTGCAGGAAAAAACTGAAAATTGGCAAACCAAAAAATATTTAAAATTAAACGTCCACAGTGCAGCATATGCCAATATGAAATGGTCAGAGAATCACAAGGACACACAGAGGACATGATTACCATGAGAAAATGATGACCTTGTTCATGAATGATGAAAGAATGTGATGATGTTATTTAAATAGACAGTGCTCCTGGCTTCATTGGCTTCTTATGTAATAAGCTGTTTTATGTTCATTTTTGAAATTAAACTGTTTGAGTTGGGTAGATCCTAACTTACATCTCTCAAACATATGACTTTAAAAAATGCTGAAATTCTATGTACCATGGAGTGAAGAAATGATTTAAAAACATTATTTAGCTTTTGGGATATATTTCATACTTAGCAACACTGCAGTATCTAAATCTCTAATACCTTGTCTAAAAAAGATATAAGAAAGGTGATCATTTTATACATGATCAGCCAATAAATATATTTAGTTAACTGATTTAAACTGATTCATCCCACTCTATAGATGAAAAGAATGAGACACAGAGAAGTCAAACCCATAGTTATAAATAATACTGGTAGTTGCTGCGAAAGTGGGTGTTTTTTTTGAGACAGGGTCTTACTCTGTCACCCACGCTGGAATGTAGTGGTGCAGTCGTGGCTCACTGCAGCCTCAACCTTCTGGACTCAAGTAATCCTCCTGCCTCAGCCTCCCAGTAGCTGGGACCACAGGAGCACATCACCATGCCCGGTTAATTTATTTTTATTTTTGGAAGAGGCGGGGCCTCCCTATGTCTTGCCCAGGCTGGTCTTGAACTCCTGGGCTCAAGGGATCCTCTTGCCTCGACCTCCCAAAGTGCTGGGATTACAAGTATGAGCCATCTGTAATCCCAGCTATGATGATTTTCATTTTATGATAAATGTGTATAAAATATTATCAATGATTCCAAGAATATGATGTCATTGTGAAATAGTTCTTATGTTAAATATAAAAGATAGGTTTGACTCTCACTGATTATTTCATTTTGCTTAAAAAGATATTTTGCTACTGAAAAGTTTAATGAAACTTTTCAATATACAGTACAGGATTATGCCTTCTTCAGTGTATGCAGGGTCTTCCTCTATTACTTAGGCTGGAGCACAGTGGCTCGATCTCAGCTCACTGCAACCTCTACCTCCTGGGTTCAAGCGATTCTCATGCCTCAGCCTCCCAAGCAGCTGAGATTAAAGTTGTGCACCAACACACCTGGCTAATTTTTGTATTTTTAGTAGAGAAGGAGTTTCGTCATGTTGTCCAGGCCAGTCTCAAACTCCTGACCTCAAGTGCTCTTCCTGCCTTGGCCTCCCAAAGTGCTGGGATTATAGGCATGAGCCAATGTGCCTGGCCCATATCCATTATTTGAAAGTATTAACAACTCCTGATTAAAAGAAATCAATGAAAAGAATGGATCACTGTCTTTTTAACGCATTGTAAGTCAGCATGGGTAAAATGGCAATGTAGTTTTATGAAAGTGAAAAATGGCTAACCTTCCTCATTCTTATCAGATCTTCAGTTTTTTCTGCAAGCTTCTGTTTTGCCATAATTTAAAAAAGACAGAAAAATGATAAAATGTTGCTCATTGAAGTTTGTTTGAACCTTCATTTTATATTTTTTTTTTAAGGAGAAGGGAGTAAGGGAGAAGAAAAAAACTGAGGCAGTGGAGGGAAAAAGGAATCAGTGGTCTGTTGGCACAAACCTGTGTTTGGTCACCATTTGAGGTGGGTACTGTCACCTCGATGTGGGATTTTTCCACCTACATTTAAGAAATAAAGTAGTAAAAACATTTTAGGTTAGTAGGTTTCTATGAATAGTGTTGTTTCCAAATAAGCTGCATCTTTAAGCTACTTGTAAAATATGCTGACATGTAATCATCATGATGCAGTCTTGTGGAGGGTGCTACAGGGAAGGATATTACTCCCAAAAGTCATCTGTGTTTACCATCACTTTTTCAAGGGCTAAAAAGGTAATATGGATATCCAAATTATCAAAAAAGAAAATTAAGGTAAGCATTCTATTGATGAAGAAAATATATTTTTATATTTATTTATAAAACAGTACCCACTAAAAAGAATGATTTAGGCCTATTTAATGCAACAGCCATGTTTGTGTTTTGCCTTTGAAAAATGATCTGGGCTGGGCATGGTGGCTCACACCTGTAATCCCAGCATTCTGGGAGGCCAAGGCGGGCAGATCACAAGGTCAGGAGTTTCCGACCAGCCTGACCAACATAGTGAAACTCCGTCTCTACTAAAAACACAAAAATTAGCTGGGCACGGTGGCACACGCCTGTAATCCCAGCTACTCAGGAGGCTGAGGCAGGAGAACCGCGTGAACCCAGGAGGTGGAGATTGCAGTGTGCTGAGATCGTGCTACTGAACTCCAGCTTGGGTGACAGCGAGACTCCGTTTCAAAAAAAAAAAAGATCTGGAAGTACTTTAAATAACAATTAATTAGCAAATTTACACATGAAGTTTTCAATGTATGACATATATGATAGGAAGAAAAAGAAAATCTTTACAGTTAAAGCACACATGTAATAAACCACATATGACACCAAACTGGTAAACACAAACGATTTTGTTAGTTGATCAATATACTTAAGGAGATATTTCATTCTTCAGTTTATCACACAACAAAACGTTACAATAAACCCAATTTAACTTGTAACTAACACATGCAATTACTCCCAGGACTGGTTTATAAACAAGCACATGCAGGATTCGGCAGCAACATTCAACACACTGCAATCTCTTCTAGGGAGTTGGAACCTATGTGTTTGGTAGAAGAGCAAGATTCATCCTTAATATTAATAGAAAGAGAATAGATAAGGTCTCATGCCTTGCTTTGAAATACCTTTAGTAATGTCATTTTATATGTAGAAAATGGAGTAATTAATTTTTAAAAAAGCATACTATTAAGAGGGAGCATATTAGAGTGAGCAACGCCCAAAGCATTGGATATTTTAAATTAAAAAATTAATTGTTTTTACTAAGGAACAAATCACTTTGTATCATTAAGTTCTTTACAGAACCTGATCAATCTGTGGTGTTGATATTCTTTTTAATCACACTAAGCAGCATTACTTTGGAGTACAATGTCATTGTGCTATTTTCTCTAAATTTAGTCTAAAAAACCTAACAGATCACCAAACTTTGTGACAACATCAAGTATTAAGCACATCCTGCTACCGCACTTTAATTATCGGGGTAATTAACGATTTTGGTCATTTCTACGCTGAGTCCCAGCATACTTGCTGTGTGGTCATTTAACACATTTTTTACCCCAGACCTTAAATTTCTTACAGATAAAATGGAGATAATGTCTTTCTAGAATTGTACATTTAGCAAATGATAGTGTTAAATTATTTTACAAAGCTTAAATTCCTTCTCCAAATGAATAATTACTTCTTTTTGCTTCAGATCCTTATCAATCCAATAGCAGAAAACTGAGAGCCTCTACTTCAGTTTAAGAATTGAGGCCAAGTAGCAATAGTAGTTCTGTCTATGACCCTACATAGAACATTAAGTGAGATAACGATATACATGAGGGAGATAGTACCTACCACGGGAGATAGTACCTACCACAGTACTTTCAGAATAGATCTCGTTAAAGTGACAACAAAAAGCTATCTCTATCTGGCATCAAACTAATGTCATATAATAAAATTTACACAGATACAAGGCTACTTTATCACTATTATTGCTTTATATAATAAATATGGCTTCATGTAAATGTCACAGTTTTTTTTTTTCTTTTCTTTTCTTTTTGAGACAGAGTCTCACTCTGTCACCCAGACTGGAGTGCAGTGATGTAATCTCGGCTCACTGCAACCTCCACCTCCCAGGTTCAAGTGATTCTCTGCCTCAGCCTCCTGAGTAGCTGGGATTACAGGTATCTGGCACCAGGCCCAGCTAATTTTTGCATTTTCAGTAAGACAGTGTTTTGCCATGTTGTCGAGACACAGGCTGGTCTCAAACTTCTGACCTCAGATGATCCACCCCTCTTGGCCTCCCAAATTGCTGGGAGTGGTGTGAGCCACCATGCCTGGCCACTATAGTTATTTTCTAACTGCTACATACAAAATTAGCTCAGAGTCACCCTTAATTCTGCCACCATTATTACAGTAATAGGTTATCAGAGGTGGCATTCAGTTTCATTTCAATGCAAGTATCTCAAAACATGTATCTATGTAGAATTAATTGGCAATAAGACCCCCTATCTGGCACTTAAAATGGAAAGCATATACCAAGTAGTGATCTCTTCACTCTGCTAAGTTCCCAAGAGCAAAGGGAGTCTACCGTTGAAGATATTTATGTCTGTGTTATAGGGAAAAAGGAGAACAAGTAAGTTAGCAGAAGTCAGAGGAATCTTAGGCACTAGGAAGATTCCCCTGACAATTCCAGTAATCCAACACTTTTTAGTTAGTATAACAAATGGAGGGATAGACACAAGGTCCTGGTGAGATATTCTAACATTAAAAACTGAGGAGGTAATCAAACATTAAAAAGGCATTGTTGACACTGAATCTATGACCAATGTCATAAATATCTGGCTAGGAATAAAAATGCAAACACGTACCACTCAATCGGTTTTTCTCTCTGGACTCAAGGTAGTGCCAAATGGACAGCAAAACTGTATGTCATATTTAACAGTTTATTTATTATTATTTTTTTGAGCTCGAGTCTTGCTCTGTTACTCAGGCTGGAGTACAGTGGTGCAATCTTGGCTCACAGCAACCTCTGCCTCCTAGGTTTGAGCGATTCTTCTGCCTCAGCCACCCCAGTAGTTGGGATTACATGCACCTGCCACCACGCCCAGCTAATTTTTATATTTTTAGTAGAAACGGGGTTCCACCATTTGAGACAGGGCCTCATTTTGTTACCCAGGCTAAAGTGCGGTGGTGCAATCTGAGTTCACTGAAGCCTCCTCAACCTCTCAGGTTCAAGTTATCCTTCTGTCTCAGTCTCCTAAGGAGCTGGGACTATAGATGCATATCACCATACCCAGCTAATTTTTGCATTTTTTGTAGACATGGGGTTTTGCCATTTTGCCAAAGCTGGTCTTGAATTCCTGGGCTCAAGTGATCTACCTGCCTCACACTCCCGAAGTGCTAGGATTACACCTGGCCTGACAGTTTGTTTTTCTTTTTTAAAAAAATACAATCAAAACAGAGTAGACTGTCTACTGCTCTAAACTAGATATTAATCTGGCTCCAAAATAACAGGGTTAATCCATCTGCCAAAGAGAGGACACTTACTAAGATCTTATACAGTTTTAAATTAAACAAAAATTTCTTAACAGACATATAAAAATGTAATTCTTCTTATGTAGACTGCTTCTCATAATTCTTGTTGTCAACAGCAAGACCTATATTAATTTCAATAAATCTGAGCTAGCACCTCGACTCCATCACTGCTTAAATGTGTTTAAAAATCTTAACATATAAAAGGTCAGTGTAGTCACTGTCTGGGAAATCTGTTAATTAAATTGGTGATTTTTCAACACAGTGCAGTGACTGTGGGTACAATTAACTCAGAATCATAAGCAACTCAGCAGTATAACCTCTTCTACATAATGGATCTTCTTTTTGTAAGGCTACTTAAGATTTGAGCAGCCACATAGATGTGCTTTAAGTAATACCTGTTCTTTGGTAATGTGCATACATCCATCTTAGAAAATAAAATTATATTTTAATCACAATAGCAGAGCTTAGTCTTAAAAAGCAATGTGGAGATTCCCTCTAGATGAGTAAAAATTATTTTAAAAAGCAGAGGATCAATCATACTGGTGTGTTTTATAAGTTCACACCAGTATTAAAAAATACTAAGTTGGGTCAAGGTGTGGGTCACCTTGTAACTTCTGAGATAGCTTACAGTCTTATTGACATACTCTATGAAAATATTTTACAGGTTCATGGGAGACATCTTCATTTAGAAAGAATGAGGAATAACTTTATTAGGAGTCTACAAGAATAAGCAATTGCTTTGAAAGCCTTCCTGGTCCAAAAGTTAAGGCCTCTAAACCACAAAGTGAGTTAGCCAGGTATTTGGACTGATGACATACCTTCCATGCTTCTGTGGGCTCTGGCTCAGCTTGCTCAGGTGGCTCTTCTTCCTTTTTCACTTCAGCCTTCACTGTTTCCTTCTGTGCTTTAGGTACCCCTGTTTTTTTAGCGGAGGCACCTGGGACGCCGCCTTCTGCAACCTGACTCTGAGTAATGGCGGGTGCAGAAGTGGGCCGGGGACTTCGGTCTGCTGAATCGGCAGCTGCTGCTATATGAGAAAGGGAAAAGGGAAGAAAAGGTAAAGGCCAGAGCTACTATATTATTTCAAACTCACCACGCAAAATAATTGTGAACTCAGGATACATACGAACGTTACAACATTTAGTGGTCTATCATGTAGAAGGTAAAAAATAAATCATTAGTGCTCTGTCAAGGAACTGATAAAAACAAGAAAGTTAAATGTACCCTCAGTAGAAAGGCTAAAATGTGTTAATGATCATGTTCCATGAATGCAGAATTCAGGGGAGACAAGATCAAAGAAAAGAAATAGAAAATCCATTTATCTTGTAATTTTAGTTTCAAAAGCCTACAATGTTGTCTACGGTAGAGGAAAAAAAAGGGTTAACTAAATCTATTTTCTTCCATGAGGCCTTTTAAAAATAAAGATCTGTTCATTTTTAGGTTATTTTAGGAACCTAAAAATATATTGTAGGAAAAAAGAATTAAGTCTGGTTTCTTCTGTAAGCCTCCTTGGAATGATTACAAAATAACTTGATAAATAGCCCTTCTGGTAAGACAGGACTACTTTCTGATGCTTGTAAGGACGAATCTTTGAACCAGATGCTTTCCTTTTTAATAGTAAATCATTTGATCAAAATAAAATCTTTTGACTGTCAGTCCTCAAACCTGAACAAAAATATCTTTTGAGTTCTGTCCTACTATCTGTCAGTCTTATCAATTTGTATTACAGCTCTTATTCTCTACTATATTTAGGGCAGTGGTTCTCAACTGGGGTAAATTGTCCCCAGAGAATATCTGGCAATGTCTGGAGACATTTTTCGTTGCTGCAACTGAGGAGGGGAGAGAAAGGAGGTACTGGCATCTAGTGCATAGAGGCTGAAGTTACTAAGGTTGAGAAACTTTAATTTAGGAGAAAAGTCGTATAGACTGTTTTAAAGATAATAAACTACATAGGCTTATGATAAAAGCTCAATCTTTTCAAAGACCTAATTGTTGTTTTATAATATTTTGTATCTAAGTTTTAGACAGCTTACTTCAATACAATCACTCATACACTTTTTATGGTTTTTATGTTCTTTCTTTCAGGGATACAAAACATTTACACTTTGTAATAAAACTTCACTTACCTGACAGTATCTAGGAATGAAAGTATTTTCCCACATGATTTAGTATTTCTGATAACATATCATTATCCTCTTTTGTACTCAGACTTTTAATCAATTTTCATGGAAATCAATAATATTTATTATACACTTTCCTGCATTCTTAAACTGATTATAACTGAACATAATTCATCCTGAAATTTTCAGATTTATAAACTGTAAGGATCAGTTACAGGAATTCCACGAATCTGAACAGATGAAAAGGTAAAATTTGCAACTACTTCATATAACAATATTAAGAAAGAAATCTTGGCTGGGCGTGGTGACTTATACCTGTAATCCCAGCACTTTGGGAAGCTGAGGTGTGTGGATCACCTGAGGTCGGGAGTTTGAGACCAGCCTATCAATGTGGCCAAATCTCGTCTTTTACTAAAAATATAATAATTAGCCAGGCATGGTGGCGGGCACCTGTAGTCCCAGCTACTCGGGAGGCAGAGGCAAGAGAATAGCTTGAACCTGGGAGGCAGAGGTTGCAGTGAGCCGAGATCATGCCACTGCCCTCCAGCCTGGATGACAGAGCCAGACTCCATCTCAAAAAAAAAAAAAAAAAAAGAAAGAAAGAAATGCTCATTACCCTGTCATGATTTCCAATGAAAGAAATAATTCCTTAGAGGATATATAGGAAAAACAGCAGAAATTCAAGACTCTCCTTTATATTTCCATGAAAAATCTGTGGCCTCTTGCACAGATTGCTACTACTAGGTTAGTAGTAATAACTCTGGATTAGCACAGAGCTACTACTAATGGGTGTTTTAAGCAGTCACTGCAAGAATGGCAGATGGCAGACTAAACCTGACAACACAGGGGAATGTGACAAAATATTTTGCTCACAGTTGTGTTAAAGTATCATTATACATGTATATTCACACCTCCTCTCAAAGAATTAATTCAACTATGCCTGGCATCATAGAAACATAGCCCATGCTTTCACCATGTGTTATTTTGCCATTTGTCTTTGGTTTTAATTGCAGAGCCAAATGATTTATGCCTTCAGCATTCCTAGCCTTGGCAATCTGTACTGTATGTGGAAAAGAAGGTATTAGTGTGGAAACTGACAGAAACAGAGCTCAGAGATTGGAAAAATAATAACATTACAATAAAAAGCCCTGGCTGTGAAAGGCTGCATGGAACAGAGGCAAAAGCCAAATCACAAGTCTTAGGCCCACACTCATTTCAGTCATATATAGTATTGTGACCTAAGGCATGGTGCTTAATCTTACAAACTTCAGTTTAATCATTTGTAAAATATGGAATACATTAACTCTACAAAATAGTTGGAAAACGGATATTCAATGGTTATAAAAATACTTCATGAACCTCAAATATTAATAACTTCTAATGGCATACCTAAGTCCTTGTATTTCTTCTGTTGTGGGTTAATATTATTTCAAGAGTATGCTGGGAAACAATTAATTATATACGCATGGATATGCAAACAAATGAAAGATACCACTTGGGAGCCCTGGAGAGAGAAACTTTCATATTCTCAACAAGGAGACTGTAAACTGTGGATCACAAAAAAAATATCATGGTAGTGATCATGGCTTTTTTTAACAGCTTTTTTGAGATATAATTCGCAAGCCATACAGTTCACTCATTTAATGTATACAATTCAATGCTTTTTAGTATATTCACAGTGTTGAGGGTAGTGACTGCTTTTTAAGATGTGTGGGTCTTCAGTTTTATTATTTCAGTTACTAACATATATAAGATTTTGGTGCATATATAGAGAATACATAATTTTAAAAATCCAGTGTCTCCTATTTCTGAAGGTCTACACAAAGAAAAGTGCTGATGGTGACCCACTAACTTCAATGCTATATTGCTCTTGGCTGACAACAGAAACTTAGATAGTTATATACTAGAGCAGTAAAGAATAAAATTCAGCCAGGCACAGTGGCTCATGCCTGTAATCCCAGCACTTTGGGAGGCCAAGGTGGGCAGATCACAAGGTCAGGAGTTCACGATCAGACTGACCAACATGGTGAAACCCCATCTCTACTAAATATACAAAAATTAGCCAGGTGTGGTGGTGCGTGCCTGTAATCCCAGCTACTCAGGAGGCTGAGGCAGGAGAATCGCTTGAACCTGGGAGGTTGAGGTTGCAGTGAGCCAAGATCATGTCATTGCACTCCAGCCTGGGCAACAGAGCTTGACTCCATCTCAAAAAAAAATAAATAAATAAAATAATAATAAAACGCCAACCATCAGACTAAGTAAAGGCAAACAATTTCTACTTCCAGCTGTTATCTACTAGCACAATTTCTGCTAGTACGCAGTAGGGTGGTTCTTTTATCAGACGACCACATGAATCATTTGCGGATCTTGAAAAAGAAAAAGATGATGATCAGGGCCACTCTAGTCAGATGAGCTATCTAAGAGTGAGGCTTGGGCATGTGTTTTGTTTTAAAGCACCAAAGGTGATAAGGGTGTACACCCGTGGCAAGAATCACTGTAATCACTACTTACCGAATGGATGAACTACCTGGTTGTATGGCCGTTTCTTTTGTGCTCCAGTTTCCTCATGAGTAAAACAGTAATTTCTAAATGCTTTTTCTTATTCACTAAGTAGCTCATATTAAATAGGAACACATGGAAATGGTTTGAACAGCAAAAAATGCAAGAAAAATATAAGCTGAAAAATCCTTGTCATCATTATTAGCTACCCCGAGACTTACTACTTTATCATAAAACTGGGATCTGAACCAGTTTTTGTACTCCAGCTGGTGAAGCAGATGCTCTGAGCACCAGACATAACAGAAGAGAAAGGGAATGCTCATTTTTATCATTAAAATGAGGCCCCTTACAAAGCAATTCTTGTAAAAGTTTCCCTGATACACCATCTCTAGCTTACAGAGCTATATTAATTTTTTGAAAAAAGAGGGGTGACTCAATGGGAAAAAGTATCTCTTAAGGAGCATAGAGAAGTGTCTAAGAAAAGGAGGGAAAAATAGTTCCACAGACATGTTTCCAGTTTTTATACTGAGAAGATAGCACAAAGAGAAAAAGAAGACATTTAATAACAGAACTTGGGGGAGGGGGCAAAAATAAAATAAAAATAAAAACAGAGCTACAAAAAAAATTGGTCCTATTCAGTTTATATACACTGAGATTATGGGCATATTGAGCTTTATAAAAGCTTTATTAAATAAATAGTAAATTGCCTATTTATTTATTTGAGATGGAGTTTTTGCTCTTGTTGCCCAGGCTGGAGTGCAATGGCGCAATCTCGGCTCACTGCAACCTCCGCCTCCCGAGTTCAAACGATTCTCCCACTCAGCCTACCAAGTAGCTGGGATTACAGGCATATACCACCACAACTGGCTAATTTCGTTTTTTTTTTTTTTTTTTTTTTCCAGTAGATACAGGGTTTCTCCATGTTGGTCAGGCTGGTCTTGAACTCCCGACCTCGGGTGATCCACCCACCTCGGCCTCCCAAAGTGCTGGAATTACAGGCGTGAGCCACCGCGCCTGGCCATCAATTTATAATTTAAAAAAGAAAAGATTAATAAAATCAATATATTTCTAGCAAGGCTGTTCAAAACAAAGAGGGTACAACTTACCAATATCAGGAATGTAAAGGTGGACCCTGCTATAGTTCTTACAGATATTAAAAGGATACCCAACTTCATGTAAATATTTTTGGAAATTTAGACACAATGCACATTTCCTAGAAAAACACTAGGCCAGGTGTGATGACACACCTATAATCCCAGCACTTTCAGAGGCCAAGGTGGGAAGACTACTTGAGCCCAGGAGTTCAAGACCAGCCTGGGCAACACATTGAGACCTCACCTCCACAAAAAAAAAAAAAAAAAAAAAAAAAATTAGCTGGGTATGGTAGCGTGTGCTTATGGTCCCAGCT